CACTCTGCTGCGCTCACTCTGTGGTAGTGCCGCGGGCTTGGCCGCAGCTCGCTTGTACGAGGCCCCCCTGGGGTCAGGCCTCTCCAATAGCTTGCACCACGGGAGCTGTCGGCCCATCACCACTACTCTGCCCGAACCGCCTGGCCAGTTGTCAGCAGTTTGCTGGCCCGAGTGCTCACCTGGCCCTTAGGTAGCAGGGATTCCTTTCTGCGCTCACTCTGTGGTAGTGCCGCGGGCTTGGCCGCAGCTCGCTTGTACGAGGCCCCCCTGGGGTCAGGCCTCTCCAATAGCTTGCACCACGGGAGCTGTCGGCCCATCACCACTACTCTGCCCGAACCGCCTGGCCAGTTGTCAGCAGTTTGCTGGCCCGAGTGCTCACCTGGCCCTTAGGTAGCAGGGATTCCTTTCCAGCCATAACACTGAGTGTGCAGGGGGGCAGGTTACCTCAGGGACTTGTGGAATATCCAGCTGGAAGGTTTTTAACGGGAGTCTCAAATTCCTGGGCTGTCCCTGATGGAGCAGTTGCACAATTTGGTCCAGGAGCCCGCATGGTGGTTCAATCTCCAAGCCTAGCCTTTTTCTGCTACTGCCCTTCCCAAATGCTTCCCCAAACCCCACCTATGGGCTTTGTGGTGGGCACTAGGTCTGAGGGGAAGGAGGGGAAGCAGCTGCAGACCCTTGCTTGAGAACCACAAAACTAGACAACCTCTTGAAGTTCTTTCCATCCTGCATTTCTATTACAGGTTATACCTCCCTGATCTGGCACCCTTGGGACCTGACCAGTCCCAGATGAGAAATTTTGCCACACTCGTGGAGGTCATTTCACTCCATCCCCAGCCCACTGGCTCCCCCTCTGCCGCCTGCCCTGCCAGGCTTCCTGGCCCCGCTGGGCAGCCCCACTGCGATGCGCCAGGCTCCTGTCTGCCAGCCCTCCTCCAGGACACTCTGGTACTGGAACATCTGTGGTCCAGTGTTGCCAGACCAGAGAGTCCTGGTTTAGAGAGGTTCAATCTGTATTGTAAAAATCTCAATAATTGGCAGAGGGGCTTCCAGTTAGGTGGTAGACCATAAATATGTCTCCAATTCAGAGATGGTGTCACTTGACATTAAGTGTGTACAGTCATAGGAGAGTGATAGAAATGTAGCCGTGTTAGTCTGGGGTAGTTGAAGCAAAATGCAGGACAATGTAGCACTTTAAAGACTAACAAGATGGTTTATTAGATGATGAGCTTTCGTGGGCCAGACCCACTTCCTCAGATCAAATAGTGGAAGAAAGTAGTCACAACCATATATACCAAAGGATACAATTAAAAAAAAGAACAAATATGAAAAGGACAAATCACATTGCAGAACAGAAGGAGGAGGCGGGGGGGTGGGAAGGGGGAGGAAGGAAGGTAAGTGTCTGTGAATTGATGATATTAGAGGTAGGGAGAGTGGGATGTTTGTGAGTTAATGGTATTACAGGTGATAATTGGGGAAACTGTCTTGATAATGGGTGAGAAAGTTCAAAGACTTGTTAAGTCCCTGGTGGTAAGTGTCGAATTTTAACATGAATGACAGTTCAGAGGATTCCCTTTCAAGTGCAGATGTAAAAGGTCTTTGTAGCAGAATGCAGGTGGCTAAGTCATTTAGAGAGTGTCCTTTCTGGTTAAAGTGGCAAGAAACTGTTTTCTCTTTGTGATCTTGTCTGATATCTGTTTTGTGGGCATTAATCCTTTGGCGAAGTGTCTGAGATGTTTGTCCAATGTACATAGCAGACGGACACTTTCGGCACATGATAGCGTAGATTATATTTCTGGATGCGCAGGAATATGTGTTCTTGATCTTATAACTCACTTGGTTAGGTCCAATAATGGTATCAGCAGAATGAATATGTGGACAAAGCTGGCAACGGGGTTTGTTGCAAGGGAAGGTACCAGGGTTGGTATTAGTGTGGTATGTCCTGTGGTGGTTGGTAAGAATCATCTTGAGGTTAGGTGGTTGTCTATAGGAGACTATGGGTCTGTCTCCCAGAGCCTCTTTGAGTATGGTATCCTGTTCCAATATAGGCTGTAGTTTATTGATAATGTGTTGGACAGGTTTAAGTTGGGGGTTGTAGGTGATGACAAGTGGTGTTCTATTGTTGGTTTTCTTGGGTCTGTCTTGAAGTAGATGGTTTCTAGGTATTCGTCTGGCTCTTTCAATTTGCTTTTTTGTTTCTCTGGGTGGGTAGTTGAGATTTATAAATGCTTGGTAGAGATCCTGAAGCTTCTGGTCTCTGTCAGTGGGGTTAGAGCAGATGCGGTTGTATCGAAGGGCTTGGCTATAGACGATGGATCGTGTGGTGTGTTCTGGATGGGAGCTGGATGCATGTAGGTAACTGTATGAGTCAGTGGGTTTTCTGTAGAGAGTGGTGTCTAATTTTCCATTGTTGATTTGTACGGTGGTGTCCAGGAAGTGGATCTCTCGTGTAGAATGGTCCAGGCTGAGGTTGATGGTGGGGTGTAGGTTGTTGAAATCTCTGTGGAATATCTCCAGTGTTTCTTGGCCATGTGTCCAGATCATAAAGATGTCATCGATGTACCGTAGGTAGAGGAGGGGTGAAAGGGGACGGGAGTTGAGGAAACGTTGTTCTAGGTCAGCCATAAAGATGTTAGCATACTGTGGGGCCATGCGTGTACCCATGGCTGTGCCGCTGATCTGGAGGTATAAGTTGTTCTCAAACCGGAAATAATTGTGGGTGAGAACAAAGTTACATAGGTCTGCTATCAGGTTGGCAGTAGTGTCCTCTGGGATAGTGTTTCTAATTGCTTGTAATCCGTCTTCATGTGGGATGTTGGTATATAGAGCTTCTACATCCATGGTGGCAAGGATGGTATTATTGGGGAGGTTATCGATGTTTTGTAGTTTCCTTAGGAAGTCAGTAGTGTCTCGGAGATAGCTGGGGGTATTGGTTACGAAGGGTTTGAGAAGAGTGTCTACATAGCTGGATAGACCAGTAGTGAGCGTGCCAATACCAGAGATGATGGGACGTCCGGGGTGCCCAGGTTTATGGATCTTGGGAAGTAGATAGAACAATCCTGGTCGGGGGTCAGAAGGTGATTCTGTGAGGATTTGTTCCCGAGTAGCTGTGGGGAGGCTTTTAAGGAGACAGTGTAGTTTCTTTTGGTAGTCCAAGGTGGGATCAGAGGGGAGAGGTTTGTAAAATGTGGTGTTCGAGAGTTGTCTGGTTGCCTCCTGGTTATAGTCGGCCTTATTCATAATGACCACAGCACCCCCTTTGTCAGCTGGTTTGATTACAATGTCCAGGTTGTTTTTGAGACTCTGGATGGCATGGTGTTCAGCGCGGCTAAGATTGTGTGTCGCTTGTTGTCGTTTGCGAATAATGTCAGTCTGTGCGTTGTTGCGGAAGCTGTGTATATAGAAATCCAGATTGTAATTCCGACCGTCAGGGGGAGTCCATATAGAATTATTTTTCCTTTGGTGTTGGTAGGGGGGATCTGGTAGGTCAGATTGATGTTCAGTGGTGGTTTGGAAATATTCTCGGAGACGGAGGCGGCGAAAAAAAGCCTCAAGGTCACCACAAAATTGTATCCAGTTTGTGGGGGACGTGGGGCAGAAAGAGAGACCCCGGGACAAGACAGACTCTTCTGCTGGATTGAGTTTGTAGCTGGAGAGGTTAACAATATTATCCGGTGGGTTGAGGCAGTTGCTGTTGTAGCCAGTGGTATGGAGCAGGTTAGAAAATTTATTGTCTTTTCTTTGTTGTAGGGAATAGAAGTGTGTATAGTAGATTTCTTGTCTGGTGGAACAAAAGTCTTGCAAGGTGTCAGTCGGTGTGGATGTTTGTCTTGAGATGAGACGATCTAAGTTAGAAATGTCATTCTTGATGGTTTTCTGTTTCTTGTATAAAATACTTATCAGGTGGTTTCTTAATTTCTTGGATAGTGTGAGGCAGAGTCTTTCACTGTAGTCAGTGAAGTATGTTGATCTTAGTGGATTGTTCACTTTCAGTCCTTTGGGTACGATGTCCATTTTCTTGCACTTGGATAGAAAGATGATGTCTGTCTGTATCTGTGCGAGTTTCTTCATATGGTTGATGGATTTCCATTCCAAACGGCTAAATGTAGTGCCTTGCATGTAGAATAGTGATAGAAATGTAGCCGTGTTAGTCTGGGGTAGTTGAAGCAAAATGCAGGACAATGTAGCACTTTAAAGACTAGAGAGACAGTCAAAAGTAGGTAGGTCCAAATTAAATCCTTTAATTTCAAATCTTGCTCTGTTCTGCTCTGACATTTGGTACATATGCTATGTTTTGGCTCCTTTTACCTATTCTGAGTTCCGTAACCAAAGTTATTGGTTAAGCGAGAATTTCAGAAATACAAACTGATAGAGGCAGCAGTTGGGGTGGAAGCAACTAGTTGAGGGAGGCATCAACTAGTCAAAGGACTAGTTGACTAGTCGCTTACATCCCTAACTCTGAGGCTGACTAATTTACCCACAAAGCTTTTCAAATTAATGTTTGCTAAATTAACCTTTTGTTACTGCACTGTGCATAGAGTAATTTTTGGCCCATTGAAGAGTTTTCTCTTGCCAATAACAATATGCAGCTACAGCTGTGTGAGAAGCACTTGTTGTTACACTAATTTTTAAATTAGCAAGCTGTGCTCTGAAATTCTTTCTTTTCTTATGTCACTGTTGTGCTGCTGTAGCAATGCTGTTAGGGTTCTGTGAATTTTTTCCTTCTGATGAATCAGGATCATGATTCCATATTGACTTCATAAATTTGTTTATCCAAAACATGTACAAAAGTATCTATCTGGTGTGACTCAAAAGATAAATGTTGGATATTTATAGAATGGCTTGGTTTAATTTGTTAGCTCGCATAATTTGATTTAATACTATTTTTTTTAATTCAGGATCACAATTAATAAGGATACAAAAGTACCAAATGCCTGTCTGTTTACAATCAACAAGGAAGATCACACGCTTGGAAATATTATTAAATCGTAAGTCAAGTCACTTTCTATTGCACAGTTATAGGAGTACGGTAGCAAGGCAGTGGATTACATTTAGCTAGGATGGTTGCCTGGGTGCACAGTGACTAACCAAACACCAGATAACCTAGCATGCAGTCCGGTTTAGGAGCATGTTTGGGTGAGGTCTGCAGGCCTGTTTGTGGTAGTTAAAGGTATATAATTGTTAATGGATGCCCATTTCTCACTGTGGCCCTTGTTGCCACCATGTGTAAAACCTTGAGCTAAGGGTGGTATTCCTCTGCTTGAGTAGTCATGTTAGCTCCTAGTGTGGGTTTAAATAGTAGCATGGCTGCAGCAATGTGCAAGTACATTACCCTCCCCTTGCTGTGTGTGGACGAGCAGGGGAATCAACCCTCCAATGCTCAGTATAAGCATACAGCCTCTGACTTCTGAGTAAGGTTGGTTCTTTGTAACATGGTAATGCAGAGTGACTTTTTTGGTAGTACCAGGAGGCTGCGTCCCCTGCTCGCTATGCTTGCCAACCCCCCTCTCAGCTGGGGCGGGGCTGAGGCCACCCCGGCTCTCTCCCCTTCCCCTCCCCCCATGCTGCCAGTAACCAGGGAGGGTCTGGCCCTAAGGATGTGAAAGGATACCTAGTGAGCATCATGCTTACTGGCCATCTGGAGCAGCCCCACAGATTAGCAGTGTAGCAGCACATGGTGATTCTAGCAAAGAAAGAAACTCTTAATGTTTCAGTGACAGTGTAGGTAGGAAACAGATTTATCTTTGTGGCTGAACCAGGTTAAGGTCACACTGTTGGGTGGTGATGGACACAGCAGGAGCTGGTGGTGTAGTATGTTTGTTGCTTCGCTCCCTTCTGTCATTCATGGGCTCAGAGCAGCAGCATGTGGCCTCCAGGAGTAAGAGCAAATAATGGGGCTCTTTGCACCAGATTGTTGAAGTTTGCTTTTGGGAGTTCTTCTGCATGGGTTTGCTGAAAGTGATTCCAGTTGTTATGTCCTAGTGCTTCATCCACAAGATCTTGCTATGGTGAAGCACTCCCTATTAGGCCTGCAGTTCCAGTCCTGGTTCTCAAAAAGCAGGAACTCTCAATGCTGACAGTGTGCAGTGGGTTTATGAAGTGCGTTTATTCCATCTTATTAAGATAAGAGTGGCTCACCTTGACAGCAAATTCTATTAGAGGAGAGTGGCATAGACCCCTAACATTTCCTCTGATCTTCAGTTTTCCAGGGACTGAATAAGCTGGCAATGGCCTGTTAGAAAGGTGTGATAAGGCTGACCCAACTTCATGCATTGGGATCTTACAGAAATTTTGCAGCTGTTTGTCATCTGTCCTGTTATCTTCTCAATGCTTCTCTGTTCTCTTTTCAGGCAATTACTGAAAGACCCTCAGGTGCTGTTTGCAGGATACAAGGTCCCACATCCTCTGGAACATAAAATCATCATTCGAGTGCAGACCACTCCAGATTATAGCCCCCAAGAAGCTTTCACCAATGCGATCACTGACCTGATCAGTGAACTCTCCCTTCTGGAGGAGAGGTTCAGGGTAAGCTTGCTGAACTGCAGTGTCACTAATAAGGGGGCTCCCTTCCACCTCTGAAACTGTGAGCTGGATTAAAAATGACAGTTACTTTACAGCTGTTGCTGTTGTATGAAAAATCCAAATACTCACATGTTCATTCCATTAAGCCAGGGCAGAATTTGGCTCTGTTATCATAGGACACTTTTGCAAACTACTTGAGATCTTGTTCAGTTTCTCAAAGCTTTTCTCTCTAGAGGTATGTCTAAACTACATCCCTTTTTCAATAAAGGGATGTAAATTAGACATACTGAAATTGTAAATGAAGCCGGGATTTGAATTTCATTGACATAATGGCAGCCGCGGCTTTTCTCCCCCTCCCCCCAAAGAAAAGCCGCTTTTTGGAAGGAAAAAAAAAAAAAACATGGTCAAGATGGGGATCTTTCAACAGAAATGCTCCGTTTCAAAAGATCCTGTAACCCTCAAAAAATGAGGTTTACAGGATCTTTCAAAACAGGACATTTCTGTCGAAAGATCCCCATCTTGACCACGTTTGGTTTTTTTTCTTCAGAAAAGCGGCTTTTTGAAAAAAAGCTGGGGCTGCCATTATGTAAATGAAGCATGGGAAATTCAAATCCCGGCTTCATTTACAATTTCAGTATGTCTAATTTACATCCCTTTATTGAAAAAGGGATGTAGTTTAGAAATACCCTATGGGAAGGCAGTTCCTTAATAGCTAATCATAGAATCACAGAACTGGAAAAGACTTTGAGAGGTCATCGAGTCCAGTCCCCTGCCCTCACAGCAGGACCAAGCACCATCTAAATCAGTGCTCTCCAACCTTTTTACACCCAAGATCACTTCTTAAATCACGAGGAATAAGCCCTCTAGCACAAGAGGGCAGTGTAAACAGGCAACATGAATTTCTTGCACAAGAAACCCCTATAGCTAAAATGGCCATCAGAGCTTTCTTGCGCAAGAGTGTGTCCACACTGCCATAGACGCTCTTGTACAAAAGCACATGCCAGTGTAGACACGCTCTTGTGGAAGATTTTTTGCACAAAAACTCTTCCACAAAACAGTTCTTGTGCAAGAAGCTGCCAGTGTAGACGTAGCCCACGTGTCTAGCATTTGCTTTCTCTCCCTTTTTCACAAGCATTACTGCTGTAAGCTTGAAAGTCTGTTGCCTGGAGCAGCTTACTTGAAAAATCCTTCCTTTCAAATTGATCTTTTCTGTGCCAATAACTCTTTTAATTTGGGATACAGTACTTTCACTTGTGTGCCCTTCTGTAATTACTCCACTCCTTGCTGTACAGTGTCTATTTAAATTGTCTGAGACACTATTGGTCTGAAACCACTTCAGAACAAATCTATATTGAAGTTCATATACTGCTGTTTGCTAGTTCCTTAACTAAGTCATAGCCTTGACTTAATTACTGAGATTATATTATCTCATAGAATAAAGCAGTTGACACACACAAGAAATCCTTTGAAAGTTAATCCTCTTTTCATATAAATGCTAATTCCAGTAATTAATAAACTAAGGCATCAGCAGGTGCACGTTTTGCTGCTGATTTAAACCATTCATTTATATAAGAATCTATAGTTGTTTATTTTTTAAATGAATCCTCTTTTTAAACTCAAATATAGTTTCTTTCTATAGCTCTTTTGCTCAAATTATTGGTCTTGAAATCCCATGTAGAGAGGAAATAAATGAAATTGTTTTCTGCTACAGAACTCCTTTAAAAAGGTTCTCTCTCTCTTTTATAGGTTGCTATCAAAGATAAACAAGAAGGAATTGAATAGACACATGAAGCTCAGAGTGGATGATCTTTTTTTACCCAGATCATGTTATAAATAAGTGTTTTCAATATAAAGTACATGTAACCACTTAACTGAACAATTTAAGGATTATTTCAAACTTCTTCAGTAAGAACTTAATGTTTCTAATAAGTGACCTTAAATTCACTTACTGCTTTCATCAAGCAAAGAATATTTTGATTTCTGTACAGGATAAAATATTTGAAGACAGGGTGGTAAGTATACATGAAGGCTACGTCTACACTGGCCCCTTTTCCGGAAGGGGCATGTAAATTTCACGAGTCGTCGTAGGGAAATCCGCGGGGGATTTAAATATCCCCCGCGGCATTTAAATAAAAATGTCCGCCGCTTTTTTCCGGCTTTTAAAAAAGCCGGAAAAGAGCGTCTAGACTGGCCCCGATCCTCCGGAAAAAGTGCCCTTTTCCGGAAGCTCTTATTCCTACGACGACTCGTGAAATTTACATGCCCCTTCCGGAAAAGGGGCCAGTGTAGACGTAGCCGAAAAGTCTTGTGTCATTAAACTGTCTTTTCAAAACTGTGAGAGACTTCCATTGGCTCAATCCATCACTTACTGTTGCAGCTAGTTTAGAGCTTTTGATTACTGCTATAAAGAGGTAAGACCTCATGAAATTTAACAACTAGGTAGCTTTCCATGTTATTGTCTTTTGGGGCATGTTAAAGTGACTGTTTTTTCACCACTTATACTGGGCTTAGTAGCTGTACTTCCAGAATAGCTCAGCAACTGAGCTTATGGTGGCCAATATAATTTTGTCCCACTGATGGCCCTGTTCATGCTAGATCTAAGGCAGCATTTCCCCCCCTCCACCATAAGTCATCTATTCACTGCCCAGTTAGCAGGTATTACATTTTATTAAGTATCAGAATTCTATAAAACAAATACACAAGTTGTGAGAACTCACAGTAAAAGAAGCTCGGTGTTGTCAATGATAGGATGTGTGCCAAGTCCCTTCAGATTTTCTCGCTTGCACAATAAGGGCTGGTTTAGAAAACTTCACGATTACTTTTGGAAACAATCACTAATACTGCACTATTTCAAAACATCACAGGAATGAAATTTTCCATCAGAACAGACTATGTTTTCTTCCATATAGCTGCTATATTTACGCCAGTTAAAGCCACAAGGTAAGTGAACGTAGGGTCTGTCACCACATTGTTTATTAAGACTTCAGTCAGCAGCTCCCCGTTTGCTCGAAGCTCTGGCCACTCAAGAATCTACCAAGAAAACAGATTTAGTTCAGAAGAGCTGAGACAGTCAGACTTGGTTTGGGTTTACTGCTCTTTTGAAAGAAAAGTCCACCTCTTCACTGGAGGAGGTATAAAACAGATTGACACTATATTCATAAATATAATGGGTAAGATAATTAGTGTCTTCAAATCTGAGTGTAAAGTGTCGAATTTAAGCATGAATGACTTAAATTTGACACTTTACACTCATAATTAGTGTCTTTATTTAAATTTCTTACCCATTACAAAGATAGCTTCCTCAATTATCACCTCTAATATCATTAGCTCACAGACATTTACCTGCCTCCTCCCCCCCCCATCCTCCTTCTGTTCTGAAATTTGATTTGTTCTTTTCATATGTGTTCATTTTTTTTAATTGTATCCTTTGGTATATATGGTTAACAATTTTCTTCCACTATTTGATCTGAGGAAGTGGGTCTGGCCCACGAAAGCTCATCACCTATTAAACCATCTTGTTAGTCTTTAAAGTGCTACACAGTCCTGTTTTTTGTTTCAGCTGCACCAGACTAATACAGCTACATTTCTGCCATTATTCTCTATCCCTCTTTCAATGACTCCTAACATTTTATTTGCTTTTTTCACTGCTGTACCCTGGGTGGATGTTTTCCGAGAACTATCCACAATGACTCCAGGATCTCTCTCCTGAGTAGTTGTAGCCAAATTAATGTCCCCATCATATTGTCTTAACTATCTTGAGCAGTTTGGTACCATCTGCAAATTTTGCCACCTCACTGTTTACCCCTTTCTCTAGATCATTTAGAAGTAAGTTGAATAGGATGGGTAACAGGACAGATCCTTGGGGGACCCCACTAGTTACCTCTCTCCTCTTGGAAAACTTACCATTTATTCCTGCCCTTTGTTTCCTATCTCTTAAGCAGTTATCAATCCACAAAAGGACCTTCCCTCTTACCCATGACAACTTACTTTATTTAAGAGCCTTTGGTGAAGGACCTTGTCAAAGGCTTTCTGGAAATCTAAGTCTATACTACATACACTGGATCCCCCTCGTTCCCATGTTTGTTGACCCCCCCCCC